GAGTCCCGCATCGGGCTCCCTGCTCGGCGGGGAGTCTGCTTCTCCCTCTGACCCTCCCCCCTCTCATGCTCTCTGTCTCTCATTCTCTCGCTCTCTCAAATTAAAAAAAAAAAAAATCTTAAATGACTGGCCCAGGATCACAGGCTGGGGGCCAGCAGAGTCCAGATTTGAACCCAATGCCCTGTGCACAGACTCAGGGTGCCCGAGTGGGGCGTGGGGCAGATGTACAGACACCAGGGAGGAGGACCTGGCCACACTCAGCCCAGAAAAGCACGGCTGCCATTGGCTGAATGGGTCGTTACTGCTAACTCATAGTTGCTGGCGGTCTGGGCCTCTGCTCAGCCTAGGAGGGGCTCTGGGTGCAGAAGCAACAACAACTGTACTAACGTTAGTACAAACTAACGAACAGGCACGAGGACCTCCCCCGGTTCCCAGCAGCCAGAGAATTCCAGAGCTCCCCACACTCCCGCTTTTCAGAGCAGTGCATTTATAGAGGAAAAGGGGCAGGGTGATGATGATTCAGGAAATCTGCAGCCGGAGTTAAATGAGCGTCTCATAATGATGGTGATTAAAAATTAACACCACTGTTTGCAGAGCGATGCACGTCCACTCCGCAGCCATGAATTAATGGAACGATGTAAACACGGGCGCTGGGGATATGCTCCAGGGCACAGAGAGAGGACTAGGAGGTTCGAGAGGGGACCTCCCAGAGCTGGGGCACCCGGCTCCCCACTCCAGCCCCTTCTCCGGGGTATCACCAGGGATTCTGTGGCTTGGGGCTTGATTTTTATCTTTGCACAAGGGGAGTGCTGGCCCACTTGGGGAGCCTTGAGGTGGTTGCATACATGGGGGACAGCCCCCCGGTCTGACTGACAAGGAGACGAGGAAAGGACTTATGAGGTGGGAGACCCAGACCACCCCCAGTTGACACCAATTAGCTGTGGGACCTTGGCGGTCACCCACTTCCCTGTGTGTTTATTCGCTCTTCTGTTTGCTGGGGCCACCACAGCAAATTACCGCAGAGGTGGTGGCTTGAGACAACAGACACGTACTCTCTCCCATCGCCACAAGTCTGAGACGGTGGTGTGGGCAGGGCAGGCTCCTTCGGGAGCCTCTGAGGGAGAACTGTCTCCCGCCTCTGTCTGGGCCTCTGGGCGTGGCTGACCAACCTCGGTGCCCCTTGGCAGCTGCCAAAATCCCGCCTCCTCCTCTGTCTTCATACAGCTCCTTCTCCACCTCTCTGCCAACCCTGCGTGTCCCAAACCCCCTCTCTTCTCTTGGGAGCACCCTAATTGCAGGCTGATCTCCTGGAGATCCTTCACTTAATTACCTCTGCAAAGATCCAATTTCCAAATTAGGTCACATTCACAGGTACCAGGGGTTAGGACTTGGTCTACCTTTTCGGGGGAGACAATTCAACCCGCCCCAGAAAGCATTTGCGGGAAGCAAAAGCCATGAATGCCGGGTGTTGCCACTCTTAGGCCAAATCAACGACTGTGCACCGGGAGTGGGGGACTCGTCTTCGCAACATCCCAGCACACCCTCTGTCCGGCCAGGCGCTCGGAGGTGCCACAGGGAGTCCAGGTGGTGGGCAGGACCTTGACCTGAAGAGGAGGGGACGCTGGTGGTGGATGGAGGGAGGAGTCTGCACTGGGGTCTCCTCTACCGCTCGGCTCTTGCCAATGAACCCTTTCTGGCCAAGGGAGTGCAGGGAAGCATCCCTGGAGATAACTCTGGGGGTCTGATTATTATTTTTATCATCCCTTACATAGCTGCCTGCCCTGCCTTTCCTCCTCCATCTGTTCTCCGGGGTGCTGTATGTGGCTCTCCTAGCCCTTCAGGGGGCACTCCGCTGGCTTCATGAGAGAAAACCAAGCCCTAAGAGATACTGGAGTTTCAAGTCCCTGCCTCTCCAACCTTGTCACCCACATCCCTCTGCTAGAAGGTCTAACCTTGACCTTTGACCACCTTGACCTTGACCACCACCCACCCCCTGCCATGTCACCTCATGCCCTGTGCCTTCCTATGGCTGGCCTCCCTTCTGGAATACTCCTCTGCTGCCCCTCGCTGCCCCTGCTTACCGCCCCCCCACCCCAGCCTTTACCATTTCTCACCCTCTTAGGCCCTCTCATCCCCTTGGACCATCGCATACTCCCCACTTGACTGGGCTGTCCCTGAGGGCAGGAAGACAGTCCTTCGTTTCGGGGGCCCCAGTCCCTAGTACACAGATGCTCTCTGGATGTTTATGGAAGGAAATCATCAAGAGACCCGGATTTGAATTCCCTCCTCCCCACCTTCCCAACTGTGTGCCCTTGGCCTCGCCGAGGCTTGATGTCCTCATTTGCCTCCCTGGCCTGCCGGGTTAGTATGTTGACAGACGAATGTGTTTCTGGGACTCCTAATCGATGCACAGGAATAGGGCATCTACCCCAGGGGCCCTGGTGCCCCAGCCTCCCACTGCCCCCAGCTCAGCATGCCAAAGCTGGAGGGGGAGGCCCAGGCTTCTGGAAACTCTTGGATCCCCTCCCCGCCCCGCCTCGGCTCCAGGTGTCTCTCTCTCTCCAGCTATTTTCTTTTGGGATCCAGAGTTCAAAAGAACAGCCCGAGCAGGAGCCCTGGGAAAACAAAAGCCAGCAGGCTCTTTCTTGCAGGCCAGCTCAGGCCTGCAGGGCGCTGCCCACCTCTCCCTGCTCCATCCGGGAAGGAGGGCGTCGGGTCCTGTGGGTTCCAGTGCGAGACTCAGACTCGGAAAACATCAGCTCCAGTGGGAGGGAAGGCCAGTGCAGGGGGTGGGGGCCAGGGGCAGCCTGTCCTAGTTAGAGCCCTAATGCGCTCCTTTGAAAGCACTTTCAGATGTCCCAGGCCCTGGGGGCAGGGGTGGCGTAATAATAATAAAACAACATTTGCATAGAGATCTCGTTTACAAAGCACTTTCTCAGGGGTGGGAGGCGCTCGGGTGGCCTGTGGAATCCTGGCGGGGAGGCCGGCCTCTGGTTGCTTCCAACCCCAGCCGAGCTCCCAGCTCGGGGATGTGTGCTTGTGTGTGCGGAAACAAAGCGCTATTCAGCAGACTGTTCCTGATTCCTCTGGATTTCGTCCCTTTTCCCCTCTCCCATGAAGAGCTCACTCAGGGCTTGTCACTCAGGCCAGAAAAGGGGTGTCAGGAGTCCCAGAGGGAGGGGTTGGCTAGGATCTGATTGGAGGGAAGCACCCCTGCCCCGCCCCCCCCCTTACCCTTTGGCCCCCAAGCTCCTGGGAATGGGAGCTGGTTTATGCAACTCTTCTGACCTGTGGCTTTGTCTTCATGTTGAAAGAATGAGCACAGGTTTGGGAATGTCTGCGCATCTGTTGTGTGTATGTCTGAGGACCCGCAGAGAGATGAGCAGCGTGGGGGCCTTTGCTAATTCTTCCCCAGCAGCGTGCCTTGTGAGCGGGATGTCCTGTACTCCGTGCGGGGGCATGGGGCCCTGGGGCTTCTGCACCTGCATCCGGTGGGTGTGGTGAGACATCTGACATCTGTGCCTGGAGCGTAGCCCCGATGTCACCTGGCCACTGGCCCCCCGGGGATGAGGGGCGCGGCATCAGAACCTGGCCCCTTAAGGGAAGAGCTATATAAGGTCCACCTGCAGGGGCTTGAGCAGGTTTTAGCAGCCCGGGCAGGGGGTGGAAGATGCAAGAGGTCATTGCTGGGCTGGAGCAGCTCACCTTCACCTTCGAGAAGGACGTAGAGATGCCGAAGGGCACTGGCCTCCTGCCTTTCCAGGGCATGGACAGTGAGTGAGGACAGGGTGTCAGCCATCCTTCTGGAGGAACTTGTGCCAGGCCCCCTCTCCCCAGCCTTCTCTGGAGGCTTCTCTGCTCAGCTCCTGAGGGGGCAGCCCCTTCACTGCCGCTCACCAGGGAGACTGAGGCAGCGGGGCTGAGGCCGGCCACCTGTGATTCCCAGCTTAGTCCCTCCCTTCTTAGGGGCTCAGGCTTCCCCTCTTACATCCTCTCCAGGACTCCAGGAAAATGGGGCTGACTTCCAGGCAGCCCATTTCCCAGACTGGGCAAGCAGAGAGACACAGAAGGTGAACTGTGAGAAGCCAGGAAATTCCACATTGGCCCCCTGAACTCCCTTGTGCCCCTCCATCCCCTCTGTTTCAGAGTTGGGGGGCTTAGGTGTTGAGGTCTCGGGGCTGGTTCTGGAGGCCAGCATCCAAAAAGCCAGGAACTTGGGGGCCCCCAGGCCCAAGCCTCAGGGAAGTTCGGGGTGAGGGGGCACTTCTTGAGTAGGAAAAGCCCCTCCAGCAGCTGCAGCCTCTGAAGAAGCTACCTTCCTTCTTTCCCTTCTAGAGTTGGGCTCGGCTGTGTGCAGCTTCTTCGCTAAAGGGCTCTGTGACAAAGGTGGGTCAGCAGGAGAACATGGCGGTGGGGGCTGGGTGTGCAGGGGCAGTCTAGACTACGGTGGGTTCTGCTTGGCCTGGACTAGGGTGCCGAATCTGCACCTGGGGAGGGGAGGTTGGAATGGAGTCGAATTTGTCTTGTAAGGAGGCAAAGGGCAGGTGGGTGGGTACATCCCTCAGGAAGCCTTCCCCTCCCCACTAAGGATTTCCCTGGCCCAGCAGCATTGATTAGGGTACCTACGGCTACCTGGAGGGGGACATTCCCTTCTTCCCACCTTACAGGGGTTGTGAGTGTTTTGGGGGTTTCAGCCTGTGTGTTCCCAGGAGGCCCCGGGCTTCTTGAGTTTCCTCCCAGCCAGGAAAGCAGTGCCCTTCTCCCCGCTCCCCTCCCCTTCTCACCCTCTGGATCAATATGGGACCTGGTCAGCTGTTCTATGTAGTCTTTATGTCCTAAGCTGTGGCCATTTCCGTCTCTGAAATGTTACCAGCGTCATCTGTTTCTCCCCCACCCCAACTTGGATTAAGTGATACCTCCTTCTAAGCCCCTCTCCCCCGGTACAGGAGGCCTGAATCCAACCAGGGTTTTTCTCAACCTTTGGCTCATGAACTACTCACAGCCCCTTCCTGTAGAAATACACAGTTGCCCAAAAAGTCTTGTCTTCAATCTGGGGGTTCCCAGTCCCCCTAGAGATCCAGGTTAAATAACCCTGCTATTGTGAATGAATTTAGGACCAGTTTTTCGGATCTAAGTGATCCCGCTCTTGGGAAGCCAGGAGGCCAGGAGGGGCCCAGGCAGGGAGGGGCTGGGGTGTTATTGCCATGTACCTCGTACCTCATTTGGCATGTTGGCTCTGGATGATGGGGTGAGAGGGAAACCAGCTCATTGCTCACTCGAGGCTCTATGCAGCCAGGACTGAGATGCCGCCTCGGGTCCTTCCTCCAAAGCAGTGGTTCACAGTGAGACCCTCTTGCAAAGAAATACCACTGCTCCTGTGGGAGGTCACGCCCGAGCAAGTCACAGGCCCGGGTGATGGGAGGACTAAGTACAAAGGAGCCCTTCACACTTTCCCTCCCCTTCTATCTGAGAGTCCGCCAAGCCTGAGGCTGGTCCTGCTCAGGAATTTAGGAACTGGAGCATCCTTCGTGCAGTTGGCAATACCCCAGTGAGAAGATAACAGAGTTACATAGAACATTTCCACTTCCTTCTAAGTTGTTACAGAGCTGGCTCTTAGGTCAGCACCTTAGGTCTCCAGACTCAAGAAACATAACCTTTGGGGGAGTTCTTGTTTTTTAAGATTTTATTTATTTATTTGACAGAGAGAGAGAGAGAGAGCATGAGCAGGGGGAGAAGCAGAGGGAGAGGCAGGCTCCCCGCTGAGCAGGGAGCCTGATGCGGGGCTCGATCCCAGGACCCTGGGATCATGACCTGAGCTGAAAGCAGACGCCCAACTGACTGAGCCACCCAGGCGCCCCTGTGGGAGTTTTTAAGACCTGATTTTAACAGGCCCTTCGGGAGCACTGCGTGCCCCAGACCGTGCTGGGTGGGAGCCCCGGGCTGGAACCGTGGCTCTGCTCTCTGGTAGGGGCCCCACCATGAGCCTGGAGGAGAGGGGGCCATGGAGCCCCTTCCCAGGAGCTGCCCTGACCCCCTGGGGCTCCCCGGGGGTGGAGAAGGGCGACGGCAGGCCAGGCAGAGAGGAGAGTTTGGGCAGAGGCGTGGTCATGCCAACAGCCACCTGTCAGGACTACTGAGCATCCTCCGTGTTGCCCCTGGCCCTGCTTCCAGCTCCACCAGGGGTCAGGTGATGGGATCAAGGGAGGGCAGCGGGGGTCTGATCCACGGCCTCTCCTGGGGCGTTCCTTCAGGGCTGAGCTGGGTCCAGGCTGTGGGCAGCTGGGTGCTCTGGTGTTCCCAGGGAAGCTCTGCCCGTTCCGGCACAACCGGGGGGTGGGGGGTAGCTGATGGTAAGCACTGGCTCTGGGGCCTGTGTAAGAAGGGCGACCAGTGCAGTTTCTGGGACCAGCATGACATCACCAGGATGCCCGAGTGCTACTTCTACTCCAAGTTCGGTAATGCCCCTTCCTGGCTCCAGGCCTTGCCCCGGAGGTTGGCAGTGGGGACTGTGAGAGGGGCCGAGGTCTTGAGAGGGGGGCACTCAAAGGAGGCTGTGCATGCCTCGGGGGGCAGACCAGGCCTCTCTGAGCCTCGGGTGCCCGCTTCTCCAGCCCCCTAGATGCAGGGGAGCTGTACTCTGGGGTCCGTCCCTGTTCACTGCCCCGCAGGTCCCCCCCCACCCGGCCCCCAGGGAAGGGAAGGGTGTGGCTGGAATCAAAGGCTGAATTGTTTCCCTCATCACAGACCCGGACTGACTGTCCGGAAACAAGCCTGGAACGGGCCAGCTCTCAGTGCCGGGGTGGGTCAGGGCCAGGGGGCCCCAAACTGGCATTTGGAAGTCACTTTCACGATGCTTGCCCAACACACAGAGCACCCATGCGTGCTACTGACCTGTCTGCTCTCTCCATTGTCTTGCTATTATTAAGTCTTATTTTAGAAAGAAACTTCACATTGCTTCCGTAAGTGGAAAGCTAGCATCTCTGATGGGCCGTGCAAGGTAACCGTAAACATACAGTCGTGAGGTTCAGAGGCCCTAGCCTCTCAAGTTATCTTGTGTGGTCAGGTCTGGACCGTGTTCTCCTGCCCTCTGGCCTCAGGACCTCCTTTTGTCATCCACGGGGCTGCAGAGGGGGAAGACATGGCCACTAGTCACCTCCTTTAAGAATGGTCTGCGAGTGTTTCAGATCTCATAAAATATCTTCCCAATAAAATTCTACAGCTCAGTTCTTTCAGGAGCTGGAAGGAGCCCTAGGGATTATCTAGTCTAGTGCTTTTCAAACTGTGTTCCAAAAGAGTGACCTGGGGGGAGAGAGCTGGCCCAGTCTGCAGGGACCTCTCTGAGACAGCTCCAGGAGTAGCTGTCCTTCATTAGTGCCAGTGGCGGGGGGCGGTGGGGGGCAGTCCCGGGTATGTGGGGAGAAAGCAAAGCATCCTCAAAGAGCTCCTCCCAGGCCAAAGTTTGTGTCCTGCCTGCTCGGAGTTGAGGTTCAGCTGCCCGCTTGTGTTTTTTTGAAAGGAAAGACAAAGTTTATCTGGATTCCGGCTCCCCTTGGTCACCACCTAAACCTCTTTCATTTAAAAATGCCTCTTATTCATTCCTTCAGTAAAACTTGGTTTGGTTTTCTTTGGGGACTCGGATACTGTGCTGGGGACGGTCACAGGGATAGGACCAGGTTCCCTTCTGCCCTCAAATACCTCTCACTGTGAGGGGCATCCATATAAATCATTGATGGTAGTTTGTAACCTCTGTTTCTGCTCTTGGAGTAAATGAATATCTCTAATATCCTATCAAAGTAATTATCGTTCTTCTTGCAAGTAAGTTGTTTTATTTAGAACATTATGTTGGGGGCG